TTAATGTTGCCAATCTACCTACCTTCTCTCTCATCAAATATTGATCTATATGTATTAATACTAACCATTCAGCTTGCCATCATCTATTCTCCAGTAGGGTACACTGCACGCCACCCTGGGTACACGGCATGCCACCCTGGGTACACGGCACGCCACCCTGGGTACACGGCATGCCACCCTGGGTAAACGGCACGCCACCCTGGGTACACGGCATGCCACCCTTGGTACACGGCACGCCACCATGGGTACACGGCATGCCACCCTTGGTACACGGCATGCCACGCCACGCCACCCTGGGTACACGGCATGCCACCCTGGGTACACGGCATGCCACGCCACGCCACCCTGGGTACACGGCATGCCACCCTGGGTACACGGCATGCCACCCTGGGTACACGGCACGCCACGCCACCCTGGGTACACGGCATGCCACGCCACGCCACCCTGGGTACACGGCATGCCACCCTGGGTACACGGCACGCCACGCCACCCTGGGTACACGGCATGCCACGCCACACCACCCTGGGTACACGGCATGCCACCCTGGGTACACGGCACGCCACGCCACCCTGGGTACACGGCATGCCACCCTGGGTACACGGCACGCCACGCCACCCTGGGTACACGGCATGCCACGCCACGCCACCCTGGGTACACGGCATGCCACCCTGGGTACACGGCACGCCACGCCACCCTGGGTACACGGCACGCCACGCCAGGTACACGGCACGCCACGCCACCCTGGGTACACGGCACGCCACCCTACCCTGGGTACACGCCACGCCACGCCACCCTGGGTACACGGCATGCCACGCCACGCCACCCTGGGTACACGGCACGCCACGCCACGCCACCCTGGGTACACGGCACGCCACGCCACCCTGGGTACACGGCACGCCACGCCACCCTGGGTACACGGCACGCCACCCTACCCTGGGTACACGGCACGCCACCCTAGGTACACTGTATGCCATATAAGAGTCTTACAATTAGATATACATAATGCTATTTGACAGGGATTTTATTGCGTTACACATCACAAATGGATTATAGAAATCGCACACTACAGTGTACATATACACAGCCAACATTTGCACATTGCTGTAGAAATTGCTCAATCCCCGAAGCAGACTAGTTACCATGGATACATTAGATTTACTGTAATCATTAAACTACATCTTTTACAATAAACACTGTTTGTTGGAGCCATTTCTCAAACATACTTTGACCGATCTCATTCAAAGGCCATGTATAAAGACATACTTATGCATGTTAATTGATTTGTTACCATTTCATCAAATA